CAGTGGTGGGTTGATAACACATTGGCTCCAAGAATAAAGCTGGATTCAACCCATTCCTCTCAATGCTATTCAACAAAACATATGTACAAACATGTGATTCCCATAAGCACTTGGAAAGTGTAGGCTGACCGATCACCAGTGTAGCAAAAACAATGAGAGAATGTCTTACTGATTCAAGTACCAAGTTCTGACAAGTGATACAAAACATGTTCAGTGGTGGGTTCATAACAAAATTGGCTCCGAGAATAAAGCTGGATTCAACCCATTCCTCTCAATGCTATTCAACAAAACATATGTACAAACATGTGATTCCCACAAGCACTTGGAAAGTGTAGGCTCACAGATCACCAGTGTAGCAAAACAATGAGAGAATGTCTTACTGATTCAAGTACCAAGTTCTGACAAGTGATACAAAACATGTTCAGTGGTGGGTTCATAACACATTGGCTCTCGAGAATAAAGCTGGATTCAACCCATTCCTCTCAATGCTATTCAACAAAACATATGTACAAACATGTGATTCCCATAGCACTTGGAAAGTGTAGGCTGACCGATCACCAGTGTAGCAAAACAATGAGAGAATGTCTTACTGATTCAAGTACCAAGTTCTGACAAGTGATACAAAACATGTTCAGTGGTGGGTTCATAACAAAATTGGCTCCGAGAATAAAGCTGGATTCAACCCATTCCTCCTCTCAATGCTATTCAACAAAACATATGTACAAACATGTGATTCCCATAAGCACTTGGAAAGTGTAGGCTCACCGATCACCAGTGTAGCAAAAACAATGAGAGAATGTCTTACTGATTCAAGTACCAAGTTCTGACAAGTGATACAAAACATGTTCAGTGGTGGGTTCATAACACATTGGCTCCGAGAATAAAGCTGGATTCAACCCATTCCTCTCAATGCTATTCAACAAAACATATGTACAAACATGTGATTCCCATAAGCACTTGGAAAGTGTAGGCTCACCGATCACCAGTGTAGCAAAAACAATGAGAGAATGTGTTACTGATTCAAGTACCAAGTTCTGACAAGTGATACAAAAACATGCTCAGTGGTGGGTTGATAACACATTGGCTCCAAGAATAAAGCTGGATTCAACCCATTCCTCTCAATGCTATTCAACAAAACATATGTACAAACATGTGATTCCCATAAGCACTTGGAAAGTGTAGGCTGACCGATCACCAGTGTAGCAAAAACAATGAGAGAATGTCTTACTGATTCAAGTACCAAGTTCTGACAAGTGATACAAAACATGTTCAGTGGTGGGTTCATAACAAAATTGGCTCGAGAATAAAGCTGGATTCAACCCATTCCTCTCAATGCTATTCAACAAAACATATGTACAAACATGTGATTCCCATAAGCACTTGGAAAGTGTAGGCTCACAGATCACCAGTGTAGCAAAACAATGAGAGAATGTCTTACTGATTCAAGTACCAAGTTCTGACAAGTGATACAAAACATGTTCAGTGGTGGGTTCATAACACATTGGCTCCGAGAATAAAGCTGGATTCAACCCATTCCTCTCAATGCTATTCAACAAAACATATGTACAAACATGTGATTCCCATAAGCACTTGGAAAGTGTAGGCTCAACGATCACCAGTGTAGCAAAAACAATGAGAGAATGTGTTACTGATTCAAGTACCAAGTTCTGACAAGTGATACAAAACATGCTCAGTGGTGGGTTGATAACACATTGGCTCCAAGAATAAAGCTGGATTCAACCCATTCCTCTCAATGCTATTCAACAAAACATATGTACAAACATGTGATTCCCATAAGCACTTGGAAAGTGTAGGCTGACCGATCACCAGTGTAGCAAAAACAATGAGAGAATGTCTTACTGATTCAAGTACCAAGTTCTGACAAGTGATACAAAACATGTTCAGTGGTGGGTTCATAACAAAATTGGCTCCGAGAATAAAGCTGGATTCAACCCATTCCTCTCAATGCTATTCAACAAAACATATGTACAAACATGTGATTCCCATAAGCACTTGGAAAGTGTAGGCTCACAGATCACCAGTGTAGCAAAAACAATGAGAGAATGTCTTACTGATTCAAGTACCAAGTTCTGACAAGTGATACAAAACATGTTCAGTGGTGGGTTCATAACACATTGGCTCCGAGAATAAAGCTGGATTCAACCCATTCCTCTCAATGCTATTCAACAAAACATATGTACAAACATGTGATTCCCATAAGCACTTGGAAAGTGTAGGCTCAACGATCACCAGTGTAGCAAAAACAATGAGAGAATGTGTTACTGATTCAAGTACCAAGTTCTGACAAGTGATACAAAACATGCTCAGTGGTGGGTTGATAACACATTGGCTCCAAGAATAAAGCTGGATTCAACCCATTCCTCTCAATGCTATTCAACAAAACATATGTACAAACATGTGATTCCCATAAGCACTTGGAAAGTGTAGGCTGACCGATCACCAGTGTAGCAAAAACAATGAGAGAATGTCTTACTGATTCAAGTACCAAGTTCTGACAAGTGATACAAAACATGTTCAGTGGTGGGTTCATAACAAAATTGGCTCCGAGAATAAAGCTGGATTCAACCCATTCCTCTCAATGCTATTCAACAAAACATATGTACAAACATGTGATTCCCATAAGCACTTGGAAAGTGTAGGCTCACAGATCACCAGTGTAGCAAAAACAATGAGAGAATGTCTTACTGATTCAAGTACCAAGTTCTGACAAGTGATACAAAACATGTTCAGTGGTGGGTTCATAACACATTGGCTCCGAGAATAAAGCTGGATTCAACCCATTCCTCTCAATGCTATTCAACAAAACATATGTACAAACATGTGATTCCCATCAGCACTTGGAAAGTGTAGGCTGACCAATGACCAGTGTAGCAAAAACAATGAGAGAATGTCTTACTGATTCAAGTACAAAGCTCTGACAAGTGATACAAAACATGTTCAGTGGTGGGTTCATAACACATTGGCTCCGAGAATAAAGCTGGATTCAACCCATTCCTCTCAATGCTATTCAACAAAACATATGTACAAACATGTGATTCCCATCGGCACTTGGAAAGTGTAGGCTCACTGATCACCAGTGTAGCAAAAACAATGAGAGAATGTCTTACTGATTCAAGTACCAAGTTCTGACAAGTGATACAAAACATGTTCAGTGGTGGGTTCATAACACATTGGCTCCGAGAATAAAGCTGGATTCAACCCATTCCTCTCAATGCTATTCAACAAAACATATGTACAAACATGTCATTCCAATCGGCACTTGGAAAGTGTAGGCTCACTGATCACCAGTGTAGCAAAAACAATGAGAGAATGTCTTACTGATTCAAGTACAAAGTTCTGACAAGTGATACAAAACATGTTCAGTGGTGGGTTCATAACAAAATTGGCTCCGAGAATAAAGCTGGATTCAGGCCTACATATTGCACAACAGATGATGTATTTACACAGCAAGCTATAATTCTTAAATATCTTTGGAAGAAGAGAGGGAGACTTACATTGGACTGCATACACCCTCATTTACTGAGAATAAGTTTTTCAATAATACGAAGTGAGGGTGAGTACATGAACTTCATTGACTCAATGTATTCTAATAATTATAGAAGTTTCTGAAACAACAGGAATTAAGTTAATCATTGTTTTCAGGAAAGGAGATGTACTCAGAAATTAGGAAAAGTGGTATTTAAAAGTTTAAAGAAGGTGAAACTTTTAATATTCTTCAGCACTAAAATCATCATGAACAAACACTAAGATATGCTAAACACCAGAAGACTCAACACATTTCAGAAAACTTTGGGATATTCAGACTGAATCGAACGAACGTCTTAGAATATTTTACTATATAGGATAACTCCAAAATCATGCTATGGAATATTTTGCAGAATCAACTTTAGAACCGTGCAAAAAAAAATTAACAATGAGAAATTGATAACAATTGATATACACAGTAGGTTTGTTGTTTTGGCCTGAAGTAGTACAAAATGATGGGTGTGTTACTTTCTGCACATAAAGCGATACACTTTGGCTCGAAATGCAGGAAAACTGCGGTCTGGTACTTGCTGCAACCTACATCTACGTTGGTACTGCAGGTAAGACTGCTTGTTTGGAGCAAGGTCATTCTGTGCCTCCAAGTCCTCCAGAAGTTTCACTTCATCAGAATGCCATTCCAGTTTGGAGTCCCAGGGAAGATGCCGGGAGCGGATTGGCACGACCGTTTCGCCTACGGGAACACCTTCCTCTGGTAATTCATCGGTGTGAACCACTGGGGTGGGCTGTTGATCTGGCTTCTGTGCAGGTGGTTGAGATGTTTGGACACGTGGGAGTATGAATGGGATGGTCTGGTGTACACGATGCAGTTGAAACATATTAAATCTGGATACGGGAAGTTTGCCCAGTATTTCCAGTCTTATTAGTTCATGCTGACGAATGGGCAATTCGTCGTGCAGCTTTCTGAGCGCATAGTACGACACAAATCGTTCATTCTGAAACAGAGCTACGCAGCTCACAAATGTCAATACAGTGACGAGTTTCCTTTCAGGCAAGGCCTTTGCTTTCAGTTTGTTGGCACATGGCAGGATCCATGGAAAGGGTCGAGTAAATTCTCGTCGAAGATTAGAGATGTGCGCAAGTTTCCGGGCTTCCATTTCAGTAAGAACAACTTGTGTAAGAACACTTGCCCTATGCTGTCCTTCTGTACAGCTTTCAGATATGGCCAGGTACTGAAAGCTTGTGTGCCACATAAAATTTGGATGTCTCTGATGGTCATAGAGACGAAAAGCTGGGAAATAGAGTAGGTCAAGCTCTTTAATGCCAGCTTTAATGATTTGACCTAAATCCTTGCTCCTTAGCATGTAAATGATGGCACCCCAAACCATTGGAAATTTTACGCCCTCCGCTTGGGACAGCTGGTGCGTCAACTGGTTTATTGTGGTGGTTCCTGATGTAGGGGGTGTTCGGCCCTGTCCCTTCAGAAAGAGCAGGAAGTCACTTTCTGACATGCCAAACCTCACACCCATCTGGTAGAAGTCTTGAATCAGTATCATCAAGGCCCGTCGACCAACAATGTGAGAAGGCTCATCCACCAGGTCATGGAATCCAAAAACTCTTCTCATTTGTTTTTGTGTGAGGTCACTGGAAGACCACACTGTTAGTGGTGGTGGCACGTCAGTACACTGGGTGGACTTTTCCCAGGGTTCCAGAGCTAGAAATCCTAGAGAGTCTGTCTTACATTGAGACGGATTACCAAGGCCAACTCCAAGGTTCACGGCACACTGATGAGATTGCCAGGCAATTGGGTTGCCCCACAACATCTTCTCCAGGGCCAGCTCTAGCTGGTAGGCACACCACACCGCAGCACAGTTCCCGGTACCTTTATATACATCCAAAGTTGCATTAAGCTTGTGGACGAGGTACAGTCCAATTTTAGCCACAACCGATGCAACAGTGTCCGAAAACAAACTTCCGCGATGAAAGGGTGTGATTAAAGCATGGCTGCTGATGAGATCCTGAAGGTGTTCTTTATCCATAAGATCGAGTGGCTTCAGTACAGTGATGCTGGTTGGAGTACGGGTCACAAACTCAAGACGACACTGGAAGTTTCTCATGATGGAGAAGTTGTTTGCAACCACACTGAGGTATTCCAAAGAATCTCGTTGGAAAGATGCTTTAGTGACATGGTTCACTGCTTTGTTGGCAGCCATGCATCCAGACACACGGGGTGATACCTGGTTTTCGGTCGCTGATGTGGAATGTCCGCATATAGCTGAACAAACCGGACGTCATTTGGTGTTTTGCTGATGTTCAACAGTTCTGTTGTCACATCCATGGACCTACCATCGAGATTTGATTGAAAGTTTCCACTTTCAAAAAACGACATACAGCTGCTCAGTGTACCCCTTTGTCCAACTAGGCTGCAAATGCCACACCGCGACCACATGACGTCTGTGCATGGAGGGGGGCGTATATTAACCCCGACATGGGCAGTGATGGCATCCAGGGCCCGGCTGGATAAAGTGGGAATGTCGATTCCTTTCTGAGCTTTTTCCCCAAAACGGAAGCTGAAGACTATCTTTTTCAAACCCGGGGGACTATCCACTGCATTGATGGACTCATGCAGAGCATTGAGGATGGCTGTTTGGTCGTCTGGAAGGACAGTGACGGTTTTCATCGCCGATAGATTGTTTTTGCTTATAGTGTTTATGGCCAATCCATCTTCAAGTAGATGTCTGAGATTTTGGGACAGCTGGGTCCTGAGTTGCAGCACCCAATTGTACGTGAGTTTCCTCAAAGTTGTTGAATCGAACGGCATGTGGCCACCGTCCGGCGGCACCAACCCGATCCAATATTCCCACCCAGCTTCGTACATCAGTTGAAATCCACAGCACTTCCGTAGGTTGCTGGCCAATTGTCCTGATAATCTGAGGTGTTTCCTTAGGAAAGAGTGGATTGGTCTTAAACTCCTACTGTCGTCGGCACAAAGAGAAACCTTTCTTATTGGATGTTTGATGTATGTTACATCATTCCATTCGACGACACAGCCATCGATGTCTGGGACAAAGGTCAACAGTTCAGATTGCTCCTCACGGCTGACCTTGCTGCTCCTCACCGACACGTATTCATCCCGTTTTAGAAAGGAAGGCACTGATGGGAAGTGATGGAAAACTTCCATAAAGTTGTCAGCATTTTCTTTCCCAGTTTGCAGGAAGACGTGACTGGGGGTAGGATTCATGATTCTAGGTACTGTGACGGCGGTAGGCGATGGCACCCGTGCTTGATGAAGCCTAATACATCCCACTTGAGGCGTAAACTGCACCTGAAACAAGAGAAAAGCAACGATGACTTGGAGGGTAGCCAAGCAGAGGAAATGGGGAGCATGATTGTGAGTCTGTGACTTTGATGCAACTGTTGACAGCTAAACTTGGACCAAATACTTAAGCACCTAATGCAGGACTTGGTTTGGGTGTACACCTAAAGGACTGTGGTTACTGATGGCCAGCATGAACCAGAATGAAACATGCAGGAGCAGTATGCATAGGGTGTACAACAAGGTGGCTAAGGCTGCTACTGAACTTTAATACTACAGAATTTGCTGAAGAGGTGGAATAAGTGAGAACAAGCATTATTGATAGTTACATGGAATTAGTGAATGAAATTAATCAAATAGGGCTACTGAGTCATGCATTGCTGATACATGTCATTAACAAGCACGAAGAAGCCAGGGCCGAATGCCTCACAAGCATTCACACATGTGAGGTCATACAAGACTTATGGTGAGGTGAAATTGGGTTTAACGTTGTGCTTGAGAATATTTCACTCGTGTGTATGTGTATGTGTGGCTGCTTGTACTAGCCCAGACTGAAGCTGGTTTTATAGTGCTAGCCCACTGAGATACCATGTTGCAATGAAGCATGAATTCCCCACTCACACACATTATACTCCGAGCCGACCAGTAATTGATGTACCCATCAACGTCGAGCGCCAGGCAGGGACCAACAAGTACCATATCTTAACATGTTTTGGTATGACATAGTCGGGGATCAAACCCGCATCCTTCTGCTCTCCCGGTGGACGCTCTAACCACTACACCACGGAGACAGTCATGCTTAACTCCTGATGCTCCATGCAGGCACCATGGCAACAATTCACAGTATCTCACCTAGAGCAGGGTGAGCGATCCCCCAGAGCTACAGCGACGACAGATGCAGGTGGGGCCAGTACTGATCTGGGAGGGATGGCAGTGTCTGACAGCTGGTGGTGGTGGCGCGTATCACCTGGCTGCAACAACATCACTCATTTCAGTGGGGTTAGCAAGGACAAACACTTACTTCATGACACTGTTCAACTGAATAGTACTGACTAAGCATATCTATGGCACGAATTCTTGCCTTGTGGAAAAACAGGATTGGTACAGCCTTGTCAACATTTCACAGGCTTAACTCCTGATGCTCCATGCAGGCACCATGGCAACAATTCACAGTATCTCACCTAGAGCAGGGTGAGCGATCTCCCAGAGCTACAGCGACGACAGATGCAGGTGGGGCCAGTACTGATCTGGGAGGGATGGCAGTGTCTGACAGCTGGTGGTGGTGGCGCGTATCACCTGGCTGCAACAACATCACTCATTTCAGTGGGGTTAGCAAGGACAAACACTTACTTCATGACACTGTTCAACTGAATAGTACTGACTAAGCATATCTATGGCACGAATTCTGGCCTTGTGGAAAAACAGGATTGGTACAGCCTTGTCAACATTTCACAGGCTTAACTCCTGATGCTCCATGCAGGCACCATGGCAACAATTCACAGTATCTCACCTAGAGCAGGGTGAGCGATCTCCCAGAGCTACAGCGACGACAGATGCAGGTGGGGCCAGTACTGATCTGGGAGGGATGGCAGTGTCTGACAGCTGGTGGTGGTGGCAAGTATCACCCGGCTGCAACAACATCACAAACACTTACTTCACGACATTGTTCAACTGAATAGTACTCACTAAGCATATGTATGGCACGAATTCTGGCCTTGTCCAAAAACAGGATTGGTACAGCCTTGTCAACATTTCACAGGCTTAACTCCTGATGCTCTATGCAGGCACCATGGCAACAATTCACAGTATCTCACCTAGAGCAGGGTGAGCGATCTCCCAGAGCTACAGCGACGACAGATGCAGGTGGGGCCAGTACTGATCTGGGAGGGATGGCAGTGTCTGACAGCTGGTGGTGGTGGCACGTATCACCTGGCTGCAACAACATCACTCATTTCAGTGGGGTTAGCAAGGACAAACACTTACTTCATGACACTGTTCAACTGAATAGTACTGACTAAGCATATGTATGGCACGAATTCTGGCCTTGTGGAAAAACAGGATTGGTACAGCCTTGTCAACATTTCACAGGCTTAACTCCTGATGCTCCATGCAGGCACCATGGCAACAATTCACAGTATCTCACCTAGAGCAGGGTGACCGATCTCCCAGAGCTACAGCGACGACAGATGCAGGTGGGGCCAGTACTGATCTGGGAGGGATGGCAGTGTCTGACAGCTGTTGGTGGTGGCGCGTATCACCTGGCTGCAACAACATCACTCATTTCAGTGGGGTTAGCAAGGACAAACACTTACTTCATGACACTGTTCAACTGAATAGTACTCACTAAGCATATCTATGGCACGAATTCTTGCCTTGTGGAAAAACAGGATTGGTACAGCCTTGTCAACATTTCACAGGCTTAACTCCTGATGCTCCATGCAGGCACCATGGCAACAATTCACAGTATCTCACCTAGAGCAGGGTGAGCGATCTCCCAGAGCTACAGCGACGACAGATGCAGGTGGGGCCAGTACTGATCTGGGAGGGATGGCAGTGTCTGACAGCTGGTGGTGGTGGCAAGTATCACCCGGCTGCAACAACATCACAAACACTTACTTCACGACATTGTTCAACTGAATAGTACTCACTAAGCATATGTATGGCACGAATTCTGGCCTTGTGGAAAAACAGGATTGGTACAGCCTTGTCAACATTTCACAGGCTTAACTCCTGATGCTCTATGCAGGCACCATGGCAACAATTCACAGTATCTCACCTAGAGCAGGGTGAGCGATCCCCCAGAGCTACAGCGGCGACAGATGCAGGTGGGGCCAGTACTGATCTGGGAGGGATGGCAGTGTCTGACAGCTGGTGGTGGTGGCGCGTATCACCTGGCTGCAACAACATCACTCATTTCAGTGGGGTTAGCAAGGACAAACACTTACTTCATGACACTGTTCAACTGAATAGTACTCACTAAGCATATCTATGGCACGAATTCTTGCCTTGTGGAAAAACAGGATTGGTACAGCCTTGTCAACATTTCACAGGCTTAACTCCTGATGCTCCATGCAGGCACCATGGCAACAATTCGCAGTATCTCACCTAGAGCAGGGTGAGCGATATCCCTGAGCTACAGCGACGACAGATGCAGGTGGGGCCAGTACTGATCTGGGAGGGATGGCAGTGTCTGACAGCTGGTGGTGGTGGCAAGTATCACCCGGCTGCAACAACATCACAAACACTTACTTCACGACATTGTTCAACTGAATAGTACTCACTAAGCATATGTATGGCACGAATTCTGGCCTTGTCCAAAAACAGGATTGCTACAGCCTTGTCAACATTTCACAGGCTTAACTCCTGATGCTCTATGCAGGCACCATGGCAACAATTCACAGTATCTCACCTAGAGCAGGGTGAGCGATCTCCCAGAGCTACAGCGACGACAGATGCAGGTGGGGCCAGTACTGATCTGGGAGGGATGGCAGTGTCTGACAGCTGGTGGTGGTGGCACGTATCACCCGGCTGCAACAAGATCACTCATTTCAGTGGGGCTAGCAAGGACAAACACTTACTTCACGACATTGTTCAACTGAACAGTACTCACTAAGCATATGTATGGCACGAATTCTGACCTTGTCGAAAAACAGGATTGGTACAGCCTTGTCAACATTTCACAGGCTTAACTCCTGATGCTCCATGCAGGCACCATGGCAACAATTCACAGTATCTCACCTAGAGCAGGGTGAGCGATCTCCCAGAGCTACAGCGACGACAGATGCAGGTGGGGCCAGTACTGATCTGGGAGGGATGGCAGTGTCTGGTGGTGGCACGTATCACCCGGCTGCAACAACATCACTCATTTCAGTGGGGCTAGCAAGGACAAACACTAACTTCATGACACTGTTCAACTGAATAGTACTCACTAAGCATATGTATGACACGAATTCTGGCCTTGTGGAAAAACAGGATTGGTACAGCCTTGTCAACATTTCACAGGCTTAATTCCTGATGCTCCATGCAGGCACCATGGCAACAATTCACAGTATCTCACCTAGAGCAGGGTGAGCGATCTCCCTGAGCTACAGCGACGACAGATGCAGGTGGGGCCAGTACTGATCTGGGAGGGATGGCAGTGTGTGACAGCTGTTGGTGGTGGCGCGTATCACCCGGCTGCAACAACATCACTCATTTCAGTGGGGCTAGCAAGGACAAACACTTACTTCACGACACTGTTCAACTGAATAGTACTCACTAAGCATATCTATGGCACGAATTCTGGCCTTGTGGAAAAACAGGATTGGTACAGCCTTGTCAACATTTCACAGGCTTAATTCCTGATGCTCCATGCAGGCACCATGGAAACAATTCACAGTATCTCACCTAGAGCAGGGTGAGCGATCTCCCTGAGCTACAGCGACGACAGACGCAGGTGGGGCCAGTACTGATCTGGGAGGGATGGCAGTGTCTGACAGCTGGTGGTGGTGGCACGTATCACCCGGCTGCAACAACATCACAAACACTTACTTCACGACATTGTTCAACTGAATAGTACTCACTAAGCATATGTATGGCACGAATTCTGGCCTTGTGGAAAAACAGGATTGGTACAGCCTTGTCAACATTTCACAGGCTTAATTCCTGATGCTCCATGCAGGCACCATGGCAACAATTCACAGGATGGCAGTGTCTGACAGCTGGTGGTGGTGGCACGTATCACCCGGCTGCAACAACATCACTCATTTCAGTGGGGCTAGCAAGGACAAATACTTACTTCACGACATTGTTCAACTGAATAGTACTCACTAAGCATATGTATGGCACGAATTCTGGCCTTGTCCAAAAACAGGATTGGTACAGCCTTGTCAACATTTCACAGGCTTAACTCCTGATGCTCCATGCAGGCACCATGGCAACAATTCACAGTATCTCACCTAGAGCAGGGTGAGCGATCTCCCTGAGCTACAGCGACGACAGATGCAGGTGGGGCCAGTACTGATCTGGGAGGGATGGCAGTGTCTGACAGCTGGTGGTGGTGGCACGTATCACCCGGCTGCAACAACATCACTCATTTCAGTGGGGCTATAAGGACAAACACTTACTTCCGCGACATTGTTCAACTGAATAGTACTCACTAAGCATATGTATGGCACGCAATTCTGGCCTTGTCCAAAAACAGGATTGGTACAGCCTTGTCAACATTTCACAGGCTTAATTCCTGATGCTCCATGCAGGCACCATGGCAACAATTCACAGTATCTCACCTAGAGCAGGGTGAGCGATCTCCCTGAGCTACAGCGACGACAGGACCAGGTGGGGCCAGTACTGATCTGGGAGGGATGGCAGTGTCTGACAGCTGGTGGTGGTGGCACGTATCACCCGGCTGCAACAACATCACTCATTTCAGTGGGGCTAGCAAGGACAAACACTTACTTCAAGACACTGTTCAACTGAATAGTACTCACTAAGCATATCTATGGCACAAATTCTGACCTTGTCCAAAAACAGGATTGGTACAGCCTTGTCAACATTTCACAGGCTTAACTCCTGATGCTCCATGCAGGCACCATGGCAACAATTCACAGTATCTCACCCAGAGCAGGGTGAGCGATCTCCCTGAGCTACAGCGACGACAGATGCAGGTGGGGCCAGTACTGATCTGGGAGGGATGGCAGTGTCTGACAGCTGGTGGTGGTGGCACGTATCACCCGGCTGCAACAACATCACTCATTTCAGTGGGGCTAGCAAGGACAAACACTTACTTCACATATTGTTCAACTGAATAGTACTCACTAAGCATATGTATGGCACGAATTCTGGCCTTGTCCAAAAACAGGATTGGTACAGCCTTGTCAACATTTCACAGGCTTAATTCCTGATGCTCCATGCAGGCACCATGGCAACAATTCGCAGTATCTCACCTAGAGCAGGGTGAGCGATCTCCCTGAGCTACAGCGACGACCGATGCAGGTGGGGCCAGTACTGATCTGGGAGGGATGGCAGTGTGCGACAGCTGTTGGTGGTGGCGCGTATCACCCGGCTGCAACAACATCACTCATTTCAGTGGGGCTAGCAAGGACAAACACTTACTTCACGACACTGTTCAACTGAATAGTACTCACTAAGCATATCTATGGCACAAATTATGACCTTGTCCAAAAACAGGATTGGTACAGCCTTGTCAACATTTCACAGGCTTAACTGCTGATGCTCCATGCAGGCACCATGGCAACAATTCACAGTATCTCACCTAGAGCACGGTGAGCGATCTCCCTGAGCTACAGCGACGACAGACGCAGGTGGGGCCAGTACTGATCTGGGAGGGATGGCAGTGTCTGACAGCTGGTGGTGGTGGCACGTATCACCCGGCTGCAACAACATCACAAACACTTACTTCACGACATTGTTCAACTGAATAGTACTCACTAAGCATATCTATGGCACAAATTATGACCTTGTCCAAAAACAGGATTGGTACAGCCTTGTCAACATTTCACAGGCTTAACTGCTGATGCTCCATGCAGGCACCATGGCAACAATTCACAGTATCTCACCTAGAGCACGGTGAGCGATCTCCCTGAGCTACAGCGACGACAGATGCAGGTGGGGCCAGTACTGATCTGGGAGGGATGGCAGTGTCTGACAGCTGGTGGTGGTGGCACGTATCACCCGGCTGCAACAACATCACTCATTTCAGTGGGGCTAGCAAGGACAAACACTTACTTCACGACATTGTTCAACTGAATAGTACTCACTAAGCATATGTATGGCACGAATTCTGGCCTTGTCCAAAAACAGGATTGGTACAGCCTTGTCAACATTTCACAGGCTTAATTCCTGATGCTCCATGCAGGCACCATGGCAACAATTCGCAGTATCTCACCTAGAGCAGGGTGAGCGATCTCCCTGAGCTACAGCGACGACCGATGCAGGTGGGGCCAGTACTGATCTGGGAGGGATGGCAGTGTCGCGACAGCTGTTGGTGGTGGCGCCAGATCACACCCGGCTGCAACAACATCACTCATTTCAGTGGGGCTAGCAAGGACAAACACTTACTTCCGACACTGTTCAACTGAATAGTACTCACTAAGCATATGTATGGCACTAATTCTGACCTTGTCCAAAACAGGATTGGTACAGCCTTGTCAACATTTCACAGGCTTAATTCCTGATGCTCCATGCAGGCACCATGGCAACAATTCGCAGTATCTCACCTAGAGCAGGGTGAGCGATCTCCCTGAGCTGGCGGACCCGATGCAGGTGGGGCCAGTACTGATCTGGGAGGGATGGCAGTGTCGCGACAGCTGTTGGTGGTGGCTGTATCACCCGGGCTGCAACAACATCACTCATTTCAGTGGGGCTAGCAAGGACAAACACTTACTTCACGACACTGTTCAACTGAAAAGTACTCACTAAGCATATGTATGGCACGAATTCTGGCCTTGTGGAAAAACAGGATTGGTACAGCCTTGTCAACATTTCACAGGCTTAACTGCTGATGCTCCATGCAGGCACCATGGCAACAATTCACAGTATCTCACCTAGAGCACGGTGAGCGATCTCCCTGAGCTACAGCGACGACAGATGCAGGTGGGGCCAGTACTGATCTGGGAGGGATGGCAGTGTCTGACAGCTGGTGGTGGTGGCACGTATCACCCGGCTGCAACAACATCACTCATTTCAGTGGGGCTAGCAAGGACAAACACTTACTTCACGACATTGTTCAACTGAATAGTACTCACTAAGCATATGTATGGCACAAACTCTGGCCTTGTCGAAAAACAGGATTGGTACAGCCTTGTCAACATTTCACAGGCTTAATTCCTGATGCTCCATGCAGGCACCATGGCAACAATTCACAGTATCTCACCTAGAGCAGGGTGAGCGATCTCCCTGAGCTACAGCGACGACAGATGCAGGTGGGGCCAGTACTGATCTGGGAGGGATGGCAGTGTCTGACAGCTGGTGGTGGTGGCACGTATCACCTGGCTGCAACAACATCACTCATTTCAGTGGGGCTAGCAAGGACAAACACTTACTTCATAACACTGTTCAACTGAATAATACTCACTAAGCATATGTATGGCACGAATTCTGGCCTTGTGGAAAAACAGGATTGGTACAGCCTTGTCAACATTTCACAGGCTTAACTGCTGATGCTCCATGCAGGCACCATGGCAACAATTCACAGTATCTCACCTAGAGCAGGGTGAGCGATCCCCCAGAGCTACAGCGACGACAGATGCAGGTGGGGCCAGTACTGATCTGGGAGGGATGGCAGTGTCTGACAGCTGGTGGTGGTGGTGGCAAGTATAACCCAGCTGCAACAACATCACTCATTTCAGTGGGGTTAGCAAGGACAAACACTTATTTCATGACACTGTTCAACTGAATAGTACTCACTAAGCATATGTATGGCACGAATTCTGGCCTTGTGGAAAAACAGGATTGGTACAGCCTTGTCAACATTTCACAGGCTTAACTCCTGATGCTCCATGCAGGCACCATGGCAACAATTCACAGTATCTCACCTAGAGCAGGGTGAGCGATCTCCCTGAGCTACAGCGACGACAGATGCAGGTGGGGCCAGTACTGATCTGGGAGGGATGGCAGTGTCTGACAGCTGGTGGTGGTGGCAAGTATCACCCGGCTGCAACAACATCACAAACACTTACTTCACGACATTGTTCAACTGAATAGTACTCACTAAGCATATGTATGGCACGAATTCTGGCCTTGTCCAAAAACAGGATTGGTACAGCCTTGTCAACATTTCACAGGCTTAACTCCTGATGCTCTATGCAGGCACCATGGCAACAATTCACAGTATCTCACCTAGAGCAGGGTGAGCGATCTCCCAGAGCTACAGCGACGACAGATGCAGGTGGGGCCAGTACTGATCTGGGAGGGATGGCGGTGTCTGACAGCTGGTGGTGGTGGCAAAGTATCACCCGGCTGCAACAACATCACAAACACTTACTTCACGACATTGTTCAACTGAATAGTACTCACTAAGCATATGTATGGCACGAATTCTGGCCTTGTCCAAAAACAGGATTGGTACAGCCTTGTCAACATTTCACAGGCTTAACTCCTGATGCTCTATGCAGGCACCATGGCAACAATTCACAGTATCTCACCTAGAGCAGGGTGAGCGATCTCCCAGAGCTACAGCGACGACAGATGCAGGTGGGGCCAGTACTGATCTGGGAGGGATGGCAGTGTCTGACAGCTGGTGGTGGTGGCAAGTATCACCCGGCTGCAACAACATCACAAACACTTACTTCACGACATTGTTCAACTGAATAGTACTCACTAAGCATATGTATGGCACGAATTCTGACCTTGTCCAAAAACAGGATTGGTACAGCCTTGTCAACATTTCACAGGCTTAACTCCTGATGCTCCATGCAGGCACCATGGCAACAATTCACAGTATCTCACCTAGAGCAGGGTGAGCGATCCCCAAGAGCTACAGCGACGACAGATGCAGGTGGGGCCAGTACTGATCTGGGAGGGATGGCAGTGTGTGACAGCTGGTGGTGGTGGCATGTATCACCCGGCTGCAACAACATCACTCATTTCACTGGGATTAGCAAGGACAAACACTTACTTCATGACACTGTTCAACTGAATAGTACTCACTAAGCATATGTATGGCACGAATTCTGGCCTTGTGGAAAAACAGGATTGGTACAGCCTTGTCAACATTTCACAGGCTTAACTCCTGATGCTCCATGCAGGCACCATGGCAACAATTCACAGTATCTCACCTAGAGCAGGGTGAGCAATCCCCCAGAGCTACAGCGACGACAGATGCAGGTGGGGTCAGTACTGATCTGGGAGGGATGGCAGTGTCTGACAGCTGGTGGTGGTGGCACGTATCACCCGGCTGCAACAACATCACTCATTTCAGTGGGGTTAGCAAGGACAAACACTTACTTCATGACACTGTTCAACTGAATAGTACTCACTAAGCATATCTATGGCACGAATTCTGGCCTTGTGGAAAAACAGGATTGGTACAGCCTTGTCAACATTTCACAGGCTTAACTCCTGATGCTCCATGCAGGCACCATGGTAACAATTCACAGTATCTCACCTAGAGCACGGTGAGCGATCCCCCTGAGCTACAGCGACGACAGATGCAGGTGGGGACAGTACTGATCTGGGAGGGATGGCAGTGTCTGGTGGTGGCACGTATCACCCGGCTGCAACAACATCACTCATTTCAGTGGGGCTAGCAAGGACAAACACTAACTTCATGACACTGTTCAACTGAATAGTACTCACTAAGCATATGTATGGCACGAATTCTGGTCTTGTCGAAAAAACAGGATTGGTACAGCCTTGTCAACATTTCACAGGCTTAACTCCTGATGCTCTATGCAGGCACCATGGCAACAATTCACAGTATCTCACCTAGAGCAGGGTGAGCGATCCCCCAGAGCTACAGCGTGTCATATATTCGACTCCAAGGTTTGTTTACAGTAGTTGTCTCGGCGCATGGGTGACGTCATAAAGCGTGACGTCACGACTTTGTGGGTAGCTTGTGACGTGAGGAGAGAATAAAAGATGGCGAACTACACCAACGCTTTGCTTGTGTGTGATCCCCAAAACACGGGCGTGCAGCAAGGCCATAAATCCCCCATACCTATTATACGCTTGTAGGGCGTCAATCCTACATGGTGGAGATCTTCCTTTTACCAGTCCTATAGTATTAGTAACTAAGAGGAACAAATGTAAGAAAGGACTTGTTCTGGGCACAAGAGAAGCAAGTTTAGCTCTGTACAGATTTTGTTGTGACTTCCGCTACTTGAATTCTCAGACACAAGATTTCAGGTACTCAATTCCAGATCTTCAAGAACTGACTGAATCATTTACAGAACGGAAACCAAATTTCATAACTACCTTGGATATGTCATCTGGATTCTTTCAGATGAAGATTTCTCCTGACTCTGAAAAATACACAGCCTTCAGTACTTGTTTTGGTACATATCAGTTCCAAAGGTTACCAATGGGACTTTCTACTGCCCCAAACAGTTTCCAGTTACTTATGGACAAAGTTTTGAGAGGTTTAACCTTTAAGTGTGTACTGTGTTATCTTGATGATGCTGTCATCTACTCTGACACTTTTGATAGTCATATATCTGATCTGAAAGAAGTCTTCAACCGTTTCCGATCAGCAGGACTTAAACTTGGACCAAAAAAGTGTACTTTTGCTCAGCACAAATGTATATACCTAGGTCACGAGATATCTAAGGATGGGATCCGGCCACCCCCAGAAAGACTGAAAGCTGTAGAAAACTATCCTGTTCCCAGAAATGCTAGCGAAGTGAGGCCTGCTCTTGGCCTATTCAACTGGTTCAGGAAATACATTCCTAAATACAGTATCTTGGCTGCTCCACTTAACAAACTCATGAAGAAGAATGTTAAGTTTGAATAGACTGCTCTGCACCAAAGAGCCTTTTGATAACATTAAGCAATCACTCTTGAAATCACCAGCTCTTGCCTTTCCAAGGTTTGACTTGCCATTTCAACTTGCTGTGGATACCTCTAGTAAGGGTATAGGATACATGTTGTTTCAGATTCATCCAGCTTATGAATTTCCAAGTGACACTTCAGAGAAAGAAAGAGTTAAAACAGTGCGTTTTGGTTCTAAAGCTTTGTGCCCATGGCAGAGTGCTTATGGACCCACCAAACTATAACTTCTTGGACTTGTGACCAGCATCCTTGATTGTGCCTCATATCTAAGAGGTAGAAGATTTAAGGTTGAATGTGATCACCAGGCCCTGAAGCCATTGTTTCAGAAACAGATGAAGGGAGCCATATAAGAACGATGGCTTGCCATTCTACAGCAGTTCAGCTTTGACATTGAGTATAAACCAGCTCAGCAGATGGTGGTACCTGATGCTCTTTCAAGATGTTTTCCAAATGATGCTGACGGCACATTTCACTCAAGCCCAGAAGAATCAGATCCTTATTTTCCATATGTACCAGATGATGCTGGAAAAATTACATTTCCAGATGGACAGGATTTACGGGATTTACTACAGCATCCAGAAGTGAATCATGTAGCAGCACCCTACATCAGCAAACTTCTACCATTGGTTCATTCACAAGACGAGTATGATGCAGATACTGAGGACCTTGACTATATCAAAGTTCCCATAACACACACAAGATACAAGAAATCAATGCTTAGAAGATTGGTAAAGTGTCCTAAACCCAAGTCTGTTGAGAGTGATGGAAATGGTATGGAAAACTTCACAAAATCTGTAGACAGCAGTGCTGCAGTGGTTGAGCGTAGAAGTGGGTTTAATTCCTATGAGTTGATAAACAAACCTTCCAGCACCATAGAGACTGACCAGTCCACCTCTGATGATCAAAGATGCCCAGATAGTGATATAGTTTTAGATAAGGACAGCAAAACTTGTATCAATGTATCAACATCTTTTGTGTCATCTGAATTCTCTACCCAGACTGAGACTGAAGAGCTATCTACTTGTGTCAGGAACGTTGATGAACTTCTTACAAAAAGTATTGAACTGTTTGATCATGGGCTAATCACTGAAAATACATTAGCTGAACTACAAGCTAATGACCCAGATTTGAAGCCAATTATCAGACATCTAACAGAGGGATGATTGCCTGACTCCCAGAAACAAGCCCGTAAGTTGCTGCTAGAAGTTGCAGACTACAGCATGATATCTAATCTTCTATTCCACTCTCAGTCAGCAAAGAGCAAGAGAAAAAGAAATCCCCAGCACTACCAGCTTGTTATTCCAAGAATTCTTCAGAAACCTGTTGTTGAACTACACCATGACTCTCCATTAGCAGGCCATGGAGGTATTGTTGACACAGTGGATCGACTGAAAGACAAGTATTATTTCAAGAGACTTGGCCAGATTGTTGCAGATTATGTTAAGTCCTGCCATGCTTGTCAAGCTCGAAAATCAACGAAGGTGCCAACGCATGCTCGTGTTGCCCCACTTCCTACTCCAAGTGCTCCTTTCCAGGTTTGGGAGGTTGATTTATATGGACCACTTCCCCTTACACCTCTGGGAAATACTTATGTGTTCACAGCCATAGACATGTTCAGCAAGTTTGCCCTGACTGTAGCAAGTGCTCTGTTCCAGTTGTTTACTAGATATGGTGTGTGTGATACTCTGGTCTCTGACCAAGGTAGTGAGTTCATATCCAGAGTAACCAAGGAAGTTGTTAGACTTCTGTGTGTACCTCAGCAGTTTACTCCAAGCTTTACTCATCATTGTCTTGGTGCAGTTGAGAGAAGTCACAGAACTCTTGCTGAAAGATTGACCCCTTATGTCAAAAACAACAAAAGAAATTGGGAAGAGTTCCTGCCAGCTGTAACCTTCTCAATGAACAACAGTGTAAACTCATCTTTAAAGTACTCACCTCATGAAATTGTGTTTGGAAGCAGACCAAACTTCCCACTGTGTTTTCCCAAGAACACAAACTTCGATTCTGTGCCTGAAGATTCACATGTCTACATCAAGAAACTTCTGAAAACTCTTGATGAATCATGTGAAAACAAACATTACTGCAGCAAAAGAGAAAAAGGTAGAACTCACCAGAAATAAGGAAAACCCACTAAAACTTTCACCAGGTGACTATGTGTACTTATCTAAAGACCCTGTGGGTTCTGGCAGGAAAATTCAAGATCGGTTTTCTGGACCATATGTGGTTGATAGTATATCAAGCCCACATTTAGTGAACATTCGTGATCCACAGACAAAGCATAAGCAATCACTAGTTGTTAATATCAACCGACTGAAGATGGCCTCTGTTCGAGAACCTAATCCATCACCATACTTTCTTGATGGAGTAGTGACCAAGGCTGTATCAAGAATGGATTCAAACCAGATCCAGACCACAGATAATGACACTCAAGTGTGTATCAGGGACCTTGTTCAGCAGCATGGGGAGAACAGTCTTGAAGCTGTTCGTCCCATTCGTGTCAGGCGAAAACCGTTGAGATACAGAGACTCGGATCATGTTGACCCTCTAGAAATTAGTGGCTTTAGTACTGTGGACAGTGACAGTAAAGGCTACCATAAAGTCAAAAGGGTTTTGGGTCAGAGACTTGTAAACAATCAGAAGCAGTATTTAGTGCATTTAGTGGGAGAACCCGCCAACCAGTCCATTTGGGTTTCTAAAGCAAACCTAAATGCTAAAGCCTTAAAGTCCATCACTGAGAGACCACCTCCTGTGATTTGATGTGGTACATGCAGCAACTAAAGCCAGAGACATTGCTGAAATATTCAGTTAAATATTAGCTAAATGAAATAATCTGCACCACTTGTTAACCAGTTCAGTTATATTCACAGTTAAAGCAAAATCAGTATTATAGTTCAGTCAAATGGAAAGGTGTTCCTAATCTGTCAGAATGGTATTCTTTTCATGTTTCAGGTTATCTGTATGAATGTTACTCATGTTATATTTTTAACACCCATGTTAGTGTCACATCACAATGTAGATGGTTTTCCTACTTATACTGACAGTGCTTAACTTACTTGATCTTAGTAACTCTGAAGATGACCTTTATACATGATAGAAATTTAAACCAGTTCTATGAGGTAGTAGCAATGTGATATATTGTGTTTGGAACATCCTATTCTGCTTGTACAAGTGTGTATGTATGGAGTGTGTTAGTAGGTCCTATCTTAGCTAAATAGTTCCAGTGTGTGAATGGGTTTGACAGATAGGATATGTCTAGACTGCATTCATCATTTTTACAGACAAAATCAGATAGAACAAAGTCAATAAGTGTGGGGTTACACTGCTATCTACTTTTGCCATTGTAATACATGTATTGGTTATGGTATTATGTTGTGGGACCATGCTATGATGTAGTTATGTAGTACAGTATGTTATCAGGACACTCCTCACAAGTATATTGGTGCCATCATGCATAAGAGTCTAAGACTAACATAATGTACATAGTTTCACACTTATCAAGTTGAAGTTGTTTGTTTGTAGGTTGTTTGTTATTTTCACTCCCTTTGGCAAGTTGCAGTTATTGCAGGTATCATACAATGTCTTTGCTGCCATCGAAACATACAAAACAAACTATTCGTTGCATTACAATCAGCAAGTAATGTACCAGATCAGTTTTTATTACTTTCCGCAAGTAATGTTACATTTCAGCTGTGTGCAGTTACACTCGGCATGTGTGATATTTGTAAACCTCATTAGTTTTGGGCCAGTGATATTTTGTGTAATTGTTCAGTTACATTCAGCATGTGTAATGCCTGTGAGTTTACCCATATTCTAGGCAGTAATTCAAACATTTGTTTTCTTTTTAATTGTCCATTTTTAATGTTTACCATTATACTTATCTTCATCTCTTTCAAAGATGTCATACCTGTTAAAGTTATTTCACAATTTGTTCAGTAAAATCAGTTCCTCCATTACAAGGGTGTTACTGAGTAGTCTCACTGCAAGACATGGGTCTTAACGAGTAGTCTCCCTTGTATCAGTGTTACACCATAGTCTGAATATTTGTGTTAGAGGACATGAATGTATATTCTGTGCATACTTAAAGTTTCACTATATTAATACATTGTCACAGCCATAAGCATTAGTTTAGGAAGCAACATCAATGTTCACAAACTTTGGAGTGAGTCAAAATTAAATTGTTGCCAATTTTCTTTAAGCGGCCCCCATGTCATATATACGACTCCAAGGTTTGTTTACAGTAGTTGTGTCGTCGCATGGGTGACGTCATAAAGCGTGACGTCACGACTTTGTGGGTAGCTTGTGACGTGAGAGAATAAAAGATGGCGAACTACACCAACCCTTTGCTTGTGTGTGATCCCCAAAACACGGGCGTGCAGCAAGGCCATAAATCCCCCATACCTATTATACGCTTGTAGGGCGTGAATCCTACAAGTGACGACAGATGCAAGTGGGGCCAGTACTGATCTGGGAGGGATGGCAGTGTCTGACAGCTGGTGGTGGTGGCACGTATCACCCGGCTGCAACAACATCACTCATTTCAGTGGGGCTAGCAAGGACAAACACTTACTTCACGACATTGTTCAACTGAATTGTACTCACTAAGCATATGTATGGCACGAATTATGGCCTTGTCCAAAAACAGGATTGGTACAGCCTTGTCAACATTTCACAGGCTTAACTCCTGATGCTCCATGCAGGCATCATGGTAACAATTCACAGTATCTCACCTAGAGCAGGGTGAGCGATCCCCCTGAGCTACAGCGACGACAGATGCAGGTGGGGCCAGTACTGATCTGGGAGGGATGGCAGTGTGCGGTGGTGGCACGTATCACCCGGCTGCAACAACATCACTCATTTCAGTGGGGCTAGCAAGGACAAACACTAACTTCATGACACTGTTCAACTGAATAGTACTCACTAAGCATATGTATGACACGAATTCTGGCCTTGTCTAAAAACAGGATTGGTACAGCCTTGTCAACATTTCACAGGCTTAACTGATGATGCTCTATGCAGGCACCATGGCAACAATTCACAGTATCTCACCTAGAGCAGGGTGAGCGATCTCCCAGAGCTACAGCGACGACAGATGCAGGTGGGGCCAGTACTGATCTGGGAGGGATGGCAGTGTCTGACAGCTGGTGGTGGTGGCACGTATCACCGGCTGCAACAACATCACAAACACTTACTTCATGACACTGTTCAACTGAATAGTACTCACTAAGCATATGTATGGCACGAATTCTGGCCTTGTGGAAAAACAGGATTGGTACAGCCTTCTCAACATTTCACAGGCTTAACTCCTGATGCTCCATGCAGGCACCATGGCAACAATTCACAGTATCTCACCTAGAGCAGGGTGAGCGATATCCCTGAGCAACAGCGACGACAGATGCAGGTGGGGACAGTACTGATCTGGGAGGGATGGCAGTGTGTGGTGGTGGCACGTATCACCCGGCTGCAACAACATCACTCATTTAAGTGGGTTAGCAAGGACAAACACTTACTTCATGACACTGTTCAACTGAATAGTACTCACTAAGCATATGTATGGCACGAATTCTGACCTTGTCGAAAAACAGGATTGGTACAGCCTTCTCAACATTTCACAGGCTTAACTGCTGATGCTCCATGCAGGCACCATGGCAACAATTCACAGTATCTCACCTAGAGCAGGGTGAGCGATCCCCCAGAGCTACAGCGACGACAGATACAGGTGGGGCCAGTACTGATCTGGGAGGGATGGCAGTGTGTGGTGGTGGCACGTATCACCCGGCTGCAACAACATCACTCATTTCAGTGGGGTTAGCAAGGACAAACACTTACTTCATGACACTGTTCAACTGAATAGTACTCACTAAGCATATCTATGGCACGAATTCTGACCTTGTCCAAAAACAGGATTGGTACAGCCTTGTCAACATTTCACAGGCTTAACTGCTGATGCTCTATGCAGGCACCATGGTAACAATTCACAGTATCTCACCTAGAGCAGGGTGAGCAATCCCCCAGAGCTACAGCGACGACAGATGCAGGTGGGGCCAGTACTGATCTGGGAGGGATGGCAGTGTGTGACAGCTGGTGGTGGTGGCACGTATCACCCGGCTGCAACAACATCACTCATTTCACTGGGATTAGCAAGGACAAACACTTACTTCATAACACTGTTCAACTGAACATTATTCACTTACATATTTATGAAACGGATTCTGGTGTTGTCGAAAAACACTTACTTCATGACACTGTTCAACTGAATAGTACTCACTAAGCATATGTATGGCACGAATTCTGACCTTGTCCAAAAACAGGATTGGTACAGCATTGTCAACATTTCACAGGCTTAACTCCTGATGCTCCATGCAGGCACCATGGCAACAATTCACAGTATCTCACCTAGAGCAGGGTGAGCGATCCCCCTGAGCTACAGCGACGACAGATGCAGGTGGGGACAGTACTGATCTGGGAGGGATGGCAGTGTGTGGTGGTGGCACGTATCACCCGGCTGCAACAACATCACTCATTTCAGTGGGGCTAGCAAGGACAAACACTTACTTCATGACACTGTTCAACTGAATAGTACTCACTAAGCATATGTATGGCACGAATTCTGACCTTGTCCAAAAACAGGATTGGTACAGCCGTGTCAACATTTCACAGGCTTAACTGCTGATGCTCTATGCAGGCACTATGGCAACAATTCACAGTATCTCACCTAGAGCAGGGTGAGCGATCTCCCTGAGCTACAGCGACGACAGATGCAGGTGGGGACAGTACTGATCTGGGAGGGATGGCAGTGTGTGGTGGTGGCACGTATCACCCGGCTGCAACAACATCACTCATTTCAGTGGGGCTAGCAAGGACAAACACTTACTTCATGACACTGTTCAACTGAATAGTACTCACTAAGCATATGTATGGCACGAATTCTGACCTTGTCCAAAAACAGGATTGGTACAGCCGTGTCAACATTTCACAGGCTTAACTGCTGATGCTCCATGCAGGCACCATGGCAACAATTCACAGTATCTCACCTAGAGCAGGGTGAGCAATCACCCAGAGCTACAGCGACGACAGATGCAAGTGGGCCAGTACTGATCTGGGAGGGATGGCAGTGTGTGGTGGTGGCATGTATCACCCGGCTGCAACAACATCACTCATTTAAGTGGGTTAGCAAGGACAAACACTTACTTCATGACACTGTTCAACTGAATAGTACTCACTAAGCATATCTATGGCACGAATTCTGGCCTTGTGGAAAAACAGGATTGGTACAGCCTTGTCAACATTTCACAGGCTTAATTCCTGATGCTCCATGCAGGCACCATGGCAACAATTCACAGTATCTCACCTAGAGCAGGGTGAGCGATCTCCCAGAGCTACAGCGACGACAGATGCAGGTGGGGCCAGTACTGATCTGGGAGGGAAGGCAGTGTGTGACAGCTGGTGGTGGTGGCATCGACACCCGGGCTGCAACAACATCACTCATTTCACTGGGATTAGCAAGGACAAACACTTACTTCATAACACTGTTCAACTGAACATTATTCACTTACATATTTATGAAACGGATTCTGGTGTTGTCGAAAAACACTTACTTCATGACACTGTTCAACTGAATAGTACTCACTAAGCATATGTATGGCACGAATTCTGACCTTGTCGAAAAACAGGATTGGTACAGCATTGTCAACATTTCACAGGCTTAACTCCTGATGCTCCATGCAGGCACCATGGCAACAATTCACAGTATCTCACCTAGAGCAGGGTGAGCGATCCCCCTGAGCTACAGCGACGACAGATGCAGGTTGGGCCAGTACTGATCTGGGAGGGATGGCAGTGTGTGGTGGTGGCACGTATCACCCGGCTGCAACAACATCACTCATTTCAGTGGGGCTAGCAAGGATAAACACTTACTTCATGACACTGTTCAACTGAATAGTACTCACTAAGCATATGTATGGCACGAATTCTGACCTTGTCCAAAAACAGGATTGGTACAGCCGTGTCAACATTTCACAGGCTTAACTGCTGATGCTCCATGCAGGCACCATGGCAACAATTCACAGTATCTCA